AAAAAAGAGTTCTCTTTCAAATGAGACCACCCCGGGCGCTGTAGCTTGAAGTGTATTGAAAAATTTCTTGTTCCCGTGGAAGCCCTATTTTCCCCCTTGATTGTTCGAAAACTTTTGAACGATAAAGTTTAGAGCCCTGAAAATTTTTTTATGCATGTACAACTAAGAGCCGAACATTCCTAGAAAACTTCGTGGAACTCCCACGTACTATACCGAAAATCGATTTTGGAGGGGGGGAGCGGCCTTAATTCACCCACCGCTGGAAAGAGCGTCGAAAACTTTACAAGATGGTGGGTGAACGAAATGGTTTCGACTTACTTGGACTGAGATAGACGTAGAACAAGAGAAAGGACAAATGCATATCGCTTAAACTTTTGTCCTCAACTGTATATCTGATTCTAGAATTTAATATTAAAAATGAAAATATTCTTACTAAAAGTTTACAAAAATTAGTAAGTGCCATTGTTTATTTCTTAATTGACTCATTCGTTGTTTTTAAGGAAAATTTTACTTTGATTCGAAAACAAAAGCTTCAATGATGGATCATAAAACTTGAACTCTTTTTAATTTCTACTCGTAGATTTTTCTTTTTGTTTATACATTTTCAAAAATACAAATCATCTTCTACAGTTCAATACAAGACCTATTACATAATAACATACATGCGCGTGATGTCACTTCTATGATTGTCACGCATATGTGATGTCATTTGTAATACGACGTGTTTGCGGACGTGGACATCAGGAAAAAATATGATTTTCTTTTTCACAGCGATTATTTGAAAAATTGCTCGAGAATATCTATGATTCCTGAATAACTGAATCAAAAAAAGAAAATTTGAAGTTTAACATAATTTTGTAGATCTTCCGTTGGCGATTCAAAGGATATATTGCTTTTCAAAAAGATCGATTGAAAAACTTAAACACACTTGCAATATACAATTCGATATGTCTTCATCTCTTCTTTTGTAAATGTGAAAATTGCAGCTCTCTATCAACAAAAAAATTTCACCCGCCTTTTTTCTGTTTTTGAAATGGAAATTAATATAGCCTATAGTATTTCTAAAACGCTCTATCTTCTGAATGTTTTGTTTCAGAATATTGCATATAAAATTAGTCAAATATATTATTAACGGAAAGTAATAAAAATCTCTTTCTGTTTTTTTTTTTTTTGAGATATTTTACAAGTTTTATGTTCATAGAATAGATAATTACCTGATTATTGAGTGTCAATGATTTGGCATTAAAAAGATGATTTCTAATATGTTCAAATTGTCTAATAGACAATTTTGAACAATCAATATGATTTGTAAATGGTTGTAAAACTTGATTAAAACGTTGATTAAGATTTAAAAAAGCATAAAAAATATCCGGTTGTGATAGATATTTAAATATTTCAAATAAAATTTCATTCGGTAGACTTGTTTCAAATTTTGTAATAGATTTTCTTTTTTCACAAACATAATCATTTGTTGTCATTGGTTTAAATTCTAAAATTCAAAGACAAAAACAAAAAAATTTTAAGTTTGTTTTTTATTTGACATATAATTACCTCCTTGATTATTAATAAATATAATCGAACAATTTTGATTTTCACTACCTAATGTTGCTGATAGAGCTCGTCTTTTACAACCCGTTGAATTCGTACTATTGATTTCATCAAATGGACGCTTATTACAATTTGTAATAAATGTTGTTATGATACCACTATTTGTTTTTGTACGATCACGCCGTTTTATTTTTTTTGATAATTTTGATACATCAGACATTAATTCGTTTTTATGAAAGATTATTTTCTTTAAATGAAGAAATAAAATCTTTCTTTATTGATTTCACGTGATGTAAACTTCGGCGAGATGAAAGAACATTGTTATGCTTATTCAAGTGCACCAATAAAATTGTCTTATTGATAGATGGCGTTTGAGAAGATGTCAAAAGAACGATTTTATGTTATTAATTGATTAAGGAAATTATAAAAAGGAATAATTTGAATTTTGTTTATTTACTGAGAAGAATATTTATCTCTTGATATTCAAATATATGTGAAGTTTTTACAGTACTTAGATAAATATTCAAGTTTTAATAATTAATTTTTTTAATGAACTTGTCGATTATTTTTCTTCTTGATAAAATACAATTACAAAAAATATTGAATCGGAAATGGAAAAGATAGACAAATGATGTTTGATTTCTATCTATAGCAGTTGTATTTTAAACTTGACAAGAAAAAAAAACATACGAATTTATTTTTTTATCAATGCTTTAATTAAAATTTTTCACGTTATGATTACAAATAATTAAATAAATTTAACAGACTATTTTGGTTAGTTATATTTTACGAATGATATTTATTAATTAGTTTCGACTATTCTCTGTCTAGAACATTTATAAATGTATTTGCTTGTCTAATATGTCACAAAGAAAATGACAAGTCTATACGATAATCAAAGAAATATGCGGACAAGTTGTTTAATTTAACAATATAATTATAGTATGCTACATCAATATAGCAAATAAAATTTTTGTCTATTTGAGCATGCACTGAGAAGTAACAATTAAGGTTTTTCTTATATGAGAAAACTCAGTTTGTCATGAAAAAAATCGAGTAAAATGTTCGTTCAACCTTCTTGTCTATTAAACAATTAAATTATCTCATGCAATCATATTTACTTTTGCATAAAATTGTTTTAATTTAGAGTTCTTATTTACTTGACATTTATTAATGACCTATTGAATGTTATGATTTGAGAACTTGCTGTCAATTTTTAAGATTTGTCCTCTACGTCCGGTGCAAATACAAACTATTAATATAAAAAGCTTTTAACGTAATGATATATTTTTGACTTGAGAAAATGATTTTAACAATATGTTATTGTTATATTGAAAAAATATGTGTAGGAGTTTATATAATAAGGCGATTGTACCGTACCATTTTATATATATTCAAATAGAAAAAGTATATAATGTCATTTGATGAAAGTGCTATAAAAGGATTTTCTAAAAATTTTTTTTGTTTAAGGCTTATCAAGAAAATGAGAGATTTTCTTCTTTTTTTAATAAATAATTGTGTTAATGTTTATTAATCATGCATAAATAAAGAACATCATATATATTCTTTCCTTTTTATTTTTTATTATATTAAACATATTAATTTATTTTTCTTTTGTACATTTGTAGTTGACTTCTAAAAAAAAAACAAAAATAAATTTCATATGAAATATAACTTTTAAATATTATCAAAGAGAAAAGATTTTAAATAAAAATATTCATTAATAATAAAATTGACATAAGTCTAAAAAAGACAAGTTAATCTTCTTAAAGATTCGAATGAAAACTGAATAGAATTAATTCTCATTTTTATATTAAAAAGAGCTAACGAACCTTCTTTCTTATTTTTATATTTCTGATCTTTTTCTAGAATATAATCAGGTTATCTTCATTAAAATCTCAAGATTTTTCATCTTGAAGTTTGTTTTTTTCTTGTTCATAAGAAAGTACTATCAATATAGTTTGACACAGTCATGACTTTAGATTTTATCTATTTATAGAATTCTTGTATGATTATATTTAATGAAACTACTAAATTATTATGAATATTTTATAAATTGGTCATATTAAATAAGTTTATCATGGGCTAATTGATTATTCGCTTCATTGAATAAAATATATTTTGAATGAAATCTGATATTATATTTTAGATCTAGCAATAGTAGCATGTTTATTCTTTTTTGTTAAGTGCACCTTTTATTTCACATATTGTTTCATTATAATTATATTTTACACGAAGTAATTAGATTCATACGAAACATAATGTTCTATTTAATATTCATTCTATACATGTTTATCAAATACAAAAGGTCATGTCATTGCGTCTAATATAAACGTTGTATTTATGTCTATTAACAAATATCTATTGCATAAAAGAATTTAATAATAAATATTAGTGAATTAACAATTGTAGAATTAATCAATATTGAAAAAATTACTAATTTACTTTTTGTGTTTTTCTTTCTTTCTTAAATTAACTAATCATAAAATCACTGTTTCCGATTTTTCTCTTAGACTTTGTTCTATCAAATCAATTTTTATTCAAAACTATGTTTATTTTAAGCAATCTATATATCAAATAATTTTCTTGTTTGACCCATATATTAATGACAAAACACTTCCAGACATGAAACTGCTCTTATTGCATATTCGAATAGATTCAACATGCATATGATGTTCATGTCATATGCTATTGATTAATGGAGAATGAATGAATGTGCGCAATATGAGAACAACAAAAAAAAAACCTAAGGGAGTAAATAAAGAACATCAGTCAAAAAGAAGAAAGCGAAGACGGAAATTCAATCAGTACAAAAAAAATCAATCCAATGTGCTATTAGTACTGTTTGCTACTGTGATTTTCAAGTGATGTTCTATTTTTGTTTAGTAAAAAGGAAACAAAAAATGAATATAAAGGATGTGTGGTTGCCTTGATCGTTAAGAGTAATTGTGTTTGTATATCGAATTGTTGTCTTTGATTGTTTGATCAATTTATACAACGCATTTTGTAAAAATTATCTAGAGTAAATTATTAGAAATAATGTACGATAAGTATGAGTATGTATGCAAAATTTATCAAGACTACATAGTGTATACCATTTGTGATTGTTGTTTACATATATGCTCATTCTTAAATAAGTTGAGTTTTATCGAAATCTTCATCATTTACTTATCAATACTATAACTATTCTTATTTTAATCTTCTTTCATAATGGTAAAAATTATTGTTAAGTCATAGAAAAAAGGAATCTAGCATAAAAAACATAATTCTCTTGATATTGTTAAAAATTTTTCAAGTAAATAAAACAATATTCTTTTCATTCATTATGATAAAAGTCTTTAGAAGCAAAGAAACCAAGTATTATAATTCACTGTTTCGATTCATTGACCCCACCTACATACTAAGGTTATTCTTCAGAACAAAAAATAGAAGCAAAATGCCTACTAATTATTTTAATATCTCTATTGAGACTACACAACAAAAAAAAGTCGAACAAAAGAAAAAAAAAAGTATCGATTATATTTCTATACAATGCATATGTTTATTAAGAGTATAATGCCTCTATATTCTTTTGACTATGGAGAACAAAACTTTCGTTAATATAATCTGTATATATACATAGTGTAACTTCATTAAAGGACACTATATATTTGCATATATATATATATATGGTGCTAAAAAAGTTCATTTCATAGGGTTAGCAATACTGTCGGAAAATGTTATATGAGACAAATGCTATAGCAAAATCAGGTCGACCGTACATAAATTTTAATAATATGAATTCATATAAGTTTAGAAAAAGTATTCATGTTCGATTTGCAAAAAACTTTTTAAATTTTCATTGATTATAGATATAACAAAGTATCGTTGTATGAGATGGGCCTCAAACACAATTCTAATTCATTAATAAAAGATAGATAATTTGAAAATAAGTCAAGAGAATAGAAAGGAAAATCTAGAAGAGGTTTTCTTTTTCTATCACATAATCAACGTCTTGATTCGCTAAAACACACTGTCATAGAATGAGGAAAAAAAACTGAATCTGGATACTTTTTCATTTTGTTGTGTTATTTGCTAAATTATTTACCTTGTCTTCTGTTTTAATATGAACACTGAATAGAGTTTAGAAGAAATGCATATCATTAACGGATGTTTCTACTTTATGAATGCTTTATTAAACAGAATAGTGATCAGAATCAATTTTTAACATCCCAAAAAGTTTTTCCTCTCTTTCATACAATCGACTTTCATAATGTCATAAAATTTTTGATTTCATAAGATTATCAATATTATTCAAATAAAATAAAAGGAAACATCGTCTAATCACATGTTGATTTATATTATTAGGTTTAATTTTAAATAGATTTTCTCTCCGATAAGACTTATCTTATATAGGAAGTACAACTAAAGTCTATCCCTCAGGAAAGCCAACTCCATACATCCCGTATATATTAGTATTTTCCTTAGGAGATTCTCAGTGAGTAAATAATAATACTAGATTGTTTCTAACGCACTAGTAATTGCATAGCCAGAAGTGTAGATAACATGAATATTATTATTGCTGATATAATATTTACTTTAGAGTTGCTCTATATCCTGTCATATTGTTAAAATTTCATTTCACTTCATTACATTTCTTTTTTTTTTTATATATTTTCCTTTATGTTTTGACGGATATGTCTTATTACTATTCTAAGAATTCCTAGAACATGTTCAAAGACTTAGATGTTTCACATGTCTTCTTTTTTTTTTTAATAAAAGACATCATCTCTCGTTCGTTGTCTTGTGTGAAATATCAATCTAGTCTATCTATCTCGTATTTCTACTCTTCAAAAAAGAACGATGTCATCATCCGGCTTTCTCGTTTTTTTCTTCTTCTTCTTCTTTCTAGTTAGTTCTGTTTAAATTAAGTGCGTAGGATATTCTTTTTAGTTGAGAGAATTTTTTTCATTTTATTTTATAATTAGAGACATTGTCATCTTGTTTGTTGTTATTGTTTTTTTTCGGAATAACAATGCCAAACTTGTATGTTGATAGCGAAATATGTTATCGTCCATTTCTTTCATAGAATTATCTATTGACATAAAATGACATTGGAAACCTTCATGACAAAACAAAAGAGATTTAAACATCAGCAAGTATATAAATTACTTTTTCTTTTGACTGTGAGTCATGGAAAAAGATTTTTTTCAACTATAGACTTTTTTTCTTATCGATTGC